TGCATGTTGTATATGTATTCGTTTAAGCTTTCATTTTATATACATATAATTTAGGTCATAGAATTGAATGTTATAAAACTTATCATCATCCACGTCTGATAAATCATCTTCAATGAAGTGAGGTTTTGAATTTCTTAACAAAAAAAAACGCAACGAAATATTTCATGAATGTCTTGCACTTTCAATGAAGTTTAAAAAACGACTTAAAATGTATATATATCCGTTGTTTGGAAGGCATATAAGCCTGGCGAAGCTCCCCAAGTATGCGTCCTAGTAACACATTTGCACAGCTACATATACATATTTCTTAAAGTTTCTGAGACATGAGCAATTTTTTTCCTGCATGATATGGATAGGGTTCGGAGTGTTTTTATTTAAACCAATAAAAGCGAAACAAGTACGCCGAATTCATTTTCGGAAATTCGGTTTTAATCTACAAAGGTATGTTTGTTTGTAGGTTTGGCGTTTTCGGTTTAAGCCGATAAAACGATTAAAGTACGTCGAATTCATTTTCTAAAATTCGGTGTCAACAGAAAGAGGCCCCTTTGACTTTCCAGTCGTACCACAGAGCCGTGGCGAAAAAGCGAAATGGCAGTGTCAATCGAAACATTTCCGAATGTATGGGATACACTGATGCCATCACGACGTTATGGTTTAATGTGCACATAATAGATCGGAATGTTAAGTCCGAAATTCCCGATGACTTCGCCATTTATGGGCCTGTTTTCAAACTCGTTGCAAGGGAGACTAACTTGGTGCAAGCTCTGCAGCCAGAGTTTAGTGAGTACTCGAAACATGTTGTGCTTCAAAACGTCGCACAGTGTCTTTCTTGATGGTCAGATTTGGTTGCTTGACCGATTTCGGCTCAGGCAGCGCTTTCCTCAGCCTGCCAGTGTCCAGTGTTATGCTAGAAGCTCAGGGTCCTATTAAGAGCAAAGGAAGAGTGCGGATCAACAAGAACTTGGGAAAGTACATGTGTGTTTGCTATATTATGATCACGTAATCCTGATGTACTGAAGGTTAAGTTCCATGTTTTTTGGGGCATAGGTTTCATATCTGGCTTGTCCGTACTTCTGTGTGCTTTTCTTGTTTCTTGTACAGTTGCCACATTTGACAAAAGTGTCCGCTTCTTTTTCAATATATCTGTGCCGTTATTTTTTGAGTGATCACAAATATCAGAGCTACAAGGATCATGTGATCCGGTGTCTGTTGGTGTTTATTTCATATTCGACGTAAAAAGAATACACCGAAAAAAAAAATGAATTGTACAAAAGCACCAAAAAAAGTACGCCGAATTTCGAAAAAATAAAAACGGAAAACGCGGAACCCTAGTTATCGAATAGAATTTGCCCTGGTATTGTTACACTGACAGCTTGAACAACGCGGATTAAATTAGTAAATGCCAGTAACTGACGTAACTAACTTTTTTTTTTCATCCTTGACATGGCCGTAGCTGGCAGTGTGTTCCCGGAAATAGGTTTTGTTTTTCTCAAACACTATTTTTCAGGGTTTTTAAAAGCCTTCGTTAAAACACCCGGCGTGATCATAGAACATTTCCACGGGGGTAGCCCTATTTGAGCGCTCCGAAATGCATCTTACGTAATAAACATTGCGAAAACTCGTTAACGCGGAAATATCGCGATATTGACAGTTCTCATCTGGCCTAAGCAGTCAGTGTCATTTCTTTTGTTTACTTCTGTATATTTTTCCGATGGAACGCTACAACAACCAAGGGCATGTTCATTGCGTTGAGACGCTCGCCGCGAGTTCTTTGCAGTGATTCTCTGATAATCCACGAGGTAGCAATTAGGTCGCTGGAAGTCGCTGCTAATCAGTCGAGTGGAAGCATGTCGTGCTCCGCCGCATCGATCAAATTGACCGGAAACTAGGGGAGAGCCACGTTGCTTAGAGCATGGCGATGCACGCGTTCAAGCTAAGTCTACCAACGTCGAGCGATGCCGCGTTATGAAAGGGCTGGCGTTTCGTAACAGGTCGGGAAGAATTTACGGTGATATGAAGATAAAACGTCTGGCGGAGTCGAAACATGAACATGTTAGTGCAGAAGCTGTTTTTGAAAGGCTCGCCTCTGCTTTTAATGAAGTCCCAGGGTGGGAGAAGCGCCCGCTCTGTCCTCGAAAATTAACCTCAATATGAAAAAGATCTTAATTGTCTTAGCATCAATTTAGTTTGCTTGTTTAGACATGGCTCTCAACAAGTATTTGTGCTGGATCTGATTAAATCATCTGCGTAGCGGGAGATCCAGTTCCGCTATAGGAGACTGTAATTTACCTCTTCTTTTAATGACACCCTATCGAAGGAATGTTTTCTTTATAGTAACTTTCTTAGAGCGCAGCCTTTAAGCGGCCGTTTCCGGCTTAAGCGGCGTCGCCGTTGCCATCCGCGTAACCGCTCGTTGCATTATGGGACCTCTTCTATAATGATGTCACACGTGACGTCACGTGTGACGTCACGAGGGTCACGAGTGACGTCACCTTCCTGACGTCACACGGCGTCTAAATTTGGCGGAAAAATTTTCCGCTCAATTTAGCGGGAACTTTTCCCGCTAAATTTAGCGGAAAATGTTCCCACTAGATTTACCGGGAAAATTTTTCCACCACATTTAGCGAAACATTTTTTAGCCAAACTTAGTGGGAAAAATCAGCGCCAAACTTAGCATGAACATTTACCTCTAAATTTAGCAGGAAAATTTTCCCGCTAAATGTCGCGGAAATATTGCCCACTAAAATTGGCGGCAACATTTTCTTGCTAAATTGTGGGGGGGGGGGGGGGGATTTTTTCGCTAAGTATGGCGTGTAAAGTTCCCCGGTCAATTTTTCCAACTTATTTAGCAGAAACATTTTCCCGCCAAATTAAGCGGGCAATTTGTTTTACTAAATTTAGCTATTGGAAAAAAAATATGAATGTAATTTTGAAGGATATTGTCATTTCATGCCGACGACTATGGTCAGGAAACGTCTTCATATCTGTTGAATTTACGCACGCAAAAATTGCTCTCACCAAATCATTTGACCTCGAACAACGCTGGAGAAAGTGTTTATACATTATTGCTGGTACCCTTTTCATGCCTTGTAGCTATAAAAAAAAAAAAAAAAAAAAAAAAAAAACACGGTCTCCGTCAGCTACTCTTGACATTTCACGCCACGATATATTGTTATATTTAAGTAGGGTGGTGATTTGGGCCAGTTCATCATGTCGTGATATTTGTTTTCGGCTCATAAACAACATTCTGTCAACACACAAATACCTGACGCTTGTTATTTTTTGGTTAACAAACTGTCAGCAAAACGCAACCATTTCTTGATGGATGTGGTATAAGGTATGAATTATGGTAGAAAATATGCTGTTGTGCATCTTTCAAACTATTGAATATAATAAATACACATTGTACACTTTTGTGAACTTGTTTATACTGAGCGCTTGCACGTGTGTACGATCGAAACGCGTTTCAAAGAGTCCTGAGCCAGTTTCATCTCCTGGATCGCTTTTTGGCGCTGAGTTCTTTTTATTTTTAATTCACTACATTTGCGCTACATTCATATATTAGTTCACGGAGGCAAACATTAGGATAGAGGGTGCAAACCGATAGGTGATATAACCAGTGCTTGACGTATCATTGACCTAGGATAGCAGCAACGCAGCATGTAATAAATAAAGATCTGCCACGTAAATAGAAAATAAAACTAAGAGGGAGATTTCATCTTAAGCTCTTCAGTTCCCCCTGTTTACTCGGTTTATTTGTTGCCAAATAAACTAGGAAAATCTAACTGACACCGAATGACTTAATAGAAAGTTAGTATCTTAACGTGACACTCCAACCTGGGTTACACGTCAATCGTCTCTTCCGCTATAATCTTCCATCAAATTGGAACCAGTTGGCGCTTGTAGAATGCGTTTTAATACACAAACAATGTATTGCATTAGAAACAATTTAGAGTAGTAAAAAAGTTGTCTAAAGTGTAAATATTAAGGTATTGCGCAAAAGACGTCTAATGTATGAAGTTTTTTTGTTTCTCCAGTTTTTGCAAGTGAATAGTACTCAAGACAATGCACACTCGCGGCTGTTTTTAACGAATTTAGATTGCTAGCTAAACTTTGTTGAACATTCATCGTCACGCGCAACTCAGGCAACAAGTGCAACAAAACAGCTTTGCGAAAGTGTCGACTTAAGCGCGATCCAAACCAACGCTTCTTTTTGCGCCTGTAGGTCGTGCGGCTGCGGATGTCACGCATTTCGTGGCGTTTTTGCTGTTTCCGGGCTCGCTTTCTGAGTCAGAACCGTGCGCTTTGGTTTGGACGGGCGAAACTTCGGGCGAGCGCGCACGCGCGCACGCAGGCACGAGCGCACAAGCAAAGTGCAACTGCGACAGACTGGCCGGGCAGACGGCGAGAGAAAAAGAGAGAGAGAGATCGCGTTGTCATGTTGGAAGAGAATAAAAGGGGGGGGGGGGGGAGGAGGAGAGGGCAGCCAGGCGGCGAGAAATGCGGAGCCGGAACTAGCTTGCCCTCCACCGATTGGCCGGGACACAGGAGCGCCCTATACGTCACCGCGCGTTTTTGTGCGCGTTGAGAAAGAAGTTGAAGTCAACCAACATTCTTGTGCGCGCCCGGAAGGAGCGAAGAAGCGGCGCGACGTCACGAAAATACGTCACATCCGCAGCCGCACGACCTACAGGCGCAAAAAGAAGCGTTGGTTTGGATCGCGCTTTAAACGACCACTCGATCAGCAAACGCACAACCCGGAGCTATACCTTTGCGAGACTGTCTTAGCAAACTAAAAGCAAAAAATATGAAGCACTGGGAAGTTCTCAGCAAACTTCAGATAGCTTCGCACCACAGCCGCAAGCGATCACAGGAGACGTGCATGATCGGGACTCCTTTTACAAAGACCGTGAGCCACGGCTGAGGGCCGAGTACAAAGCCTCTCGCGAGGAGGCAGCGTTTATATTCATCGCAACCAGCAGGTTGGTTGTTCCACTTACTACGTCGATAATCTGCTGCAAGGTGAGACCGAAGCTGAGGATGAGCGGCTCGGACTCGTTGAAGACCGGGCGCTCGAGCGTGTTGTAGTTGGCCAGAAGATCGCCGAGGAGCCGGCGTTCGTGGGCACCTTGCTCCGTATCTATAAAACAAGAGAGGACAAACAGAGGGTCATACATATACATATCCAGAGTATGATGCAGATCAGCAAATTATAATCCAAACTGTAAAAAAAAACGGGGTTTGAGTTTTTTTAGTTTTTCTATTTCATTTCCCCTTTGCCCAACAATCGTTATGAGGGAGTGGCTGGCCCGTCGCACAATTTTTCAGTTATACTTCGTTCGACAAACCGGCGAGATGCTATCAGAGGAAATATATGGTGTCACTTTGTTTTTGCATTTAATACCTAAAACACGCTACGATAGGAGACCTCCACTTGTTTTCGTCAATTCTGGTATCCCATTAGTGTTTCTCATATATATCAATGATTTGCCATGTTCCATTTCCTTTGTGCATTAGTTTATTCGCTGATTATTGTCTTATTTACGGAGAAGTTGCTAACACTTTGGATACTCAGAATTTACACGAAGATATTAACGCATTCTCTAACTTGTGTGACTAGTAAGGGATAAAACTTAACACGACTAAATGCAAAGCCATTCGAGTATATGGTGTCAATCTAGTATTCCTCCATCTTATTTTCTTCAAAACATCACCTTACCTTCCGTGTCTAGATAAAAATACTTTGGTGTTCATATATCTCCAGATATCTCCTGGTAGATACATGTTGATAACACAGAACGATAACCGCATGCTGTGTTATTTTAAACGAAATTTATTTTTTGCTCATTTTTCTCTGGAAGTAAGTCTGTATAAAACCCTTGTTCGCAATAAATTACACTATGATTCTGCTATCCGGAAGCGTGGTCATTACAAACTAAATAATAATTTAGAATAAGCCTAAAAGTGTTCTGCTTGTTTTATTCTTAACACATATCATCAAACCACCAATATAAGCTCAATGAATGCCACTCTATCATGGCCTAATCTTGCTTTACGCCGTAAAAACAGCTCGATTGTGTTTCTTTCATAACATATGCCATACTAATCTATTACTTCAAGATCAATTGCTGAAACATCCGTTTTATGTTTCTTCACGGTTGGATCATCTATATTAGGTAGGCATTCGAAAATAAAACACTAATAGTTTTCAAGGGTCGCTTCTCCCAATAACTTCTGTGGACTAAAACCATCTTCCCACACCGATAGCCACAATTGCCGTTTGTGATCTATTTTAAACTGCCTTAAATATTATAAACCGTTCCGACTGATTATCAAAGTGTACTGACCCCCACTCCGTTCTGTAACGTCGAAGGCCCTGAGAGTATTTGAAATAAAATATAAATAAATTTATATACATATACATCAGCGTGTCGAACCGAAGAAACTACGGGTTCGGTTACGGTCGAGGTTCAGGTAAATTTATTTTGTTCCGGTTCAGTTCCGGTTCGATTAATTCGATCCGCGAACCGGTTCGCGAACCGGTTCGGGGCGCTGAACCGGTTCGCGAACCGGCTCGGAAATTATAAATGACAAATTGCAACATCAAAATAAATTACAAATAAAACATCTGAAATCAGCACATACGAAACGGGATATATCGTAGTGTAAGGCTCAGAGATTTCTACCAGGAATGGTTTCTTTATGTGCCCTCAAAGGTTACCTCACCGACGTTTACGCATTCGGACTTCATCTAATTGGGTCCGACGCAGTAGCTGTAAAATCAGCGACCTCCTTACAAACCCACTTACAAGTATAACTCGCTAACTATCCCGCCACCTCGGCGTGTAAGCAATTGAAGGAACAGTGGGGAGAAAATACAGCGTTCTTTATTTGAACTAGCCTTCGGTAACTTAAATTAGACCCTAAAAGAAATTTTCATTAAACAAGATACGGAATATGAAAAACACTTCACCGAACGCAACGCCAGAAGGACGTAATAGGATAAATATTAAAATAAAAGAGTTCGCTGTCTCACAAATATGTTAGCTCCTAAGTGCCTATACGAAACCGGATGCATTATTATCAAACTCCACAGCCTTTTTTTTCTCATTCCGATGGAAGCAAGCTTCAAGAACTCGCGCGTTCTAGAAACGTGTTATGAAATGAGCGCACAGCAGCATTTAGGATTTACGAGATTGTAAGAAAATGAAATACCGTGACGCATTTTTTTTTTTTTTTGCACAGCCTTCCAATTTTTTTTTCCGTGCAAGCCGCGACCAGCGCAGTACTGGTTCCTATGTCAAGATTCATGGATGCAGCGTTTGTCAATGTTCATGGATGCAGCGTTTATATTCCTAAGACTGAGTGGAGAAGAAAAATATGTAACCGAGGTGTGTGTCAGTTGACGGCACTTAAAAAACAAATGGCATTGATAGCACATTCATTGTCAGCAGCGCGTGGCCGAACCGTTTTGACATGAGCCGGTAAGCGTTATTTTTTTTTTCCGGTTCATTTCCGGTTCGGGTTCATCGCGATAACAATATAACGGTTCGGGTTCGGGTTCAGTTCCGGAAAAAATGCCGGTTCGGTTCCGGTTTTCGGTTCGGTTCGGTTCCGGTTCGACACCCTGATATATATATATATATAAATATATATATATATATATATATATCTTTAGAAAAGGGAAACGAGTCAAGCAACATAAAAAGGTTTGCTTTAAAGGGTCACTCCGGTATATTTTCTCAATTTTAGGACTAAGGCTCTTTTCAGTGAAGTAAGTGCCCCAGAATTACGAGTTGCCTAATTTCGTTTTATGCCTTGTGTAGTTTTGTAGACATCTTATCTCAAAGTTTTGTTTTGAGCGCCTACGGCGAAACCGAAACTTTCGCCTCGAGCATGATGGTAGCCCTTGTGATCAGCTGTATGGCCATCGCGTGATGTAAAGCTGGTACCTTGGTACAGTAAAACGTATGACTGGCTTAGTCAGAAGAGCAGTTCCGATCAGTCAGGTAATATGCTATTATTGTTTTACTGGTTTGCTTTGTATATGTATAACGCCTGTAACAAGTAATACACGTTCCTAAAGTGGCCGGCCAATGCGAGTTCAATGAACGCAGGCTCAGCGCAGGGTCAGAACAAGCCCCACTTACCGTCTGAAAAGAACTACGATCTTTGTGGTTGGCCATGCACGTTTCAAAAGCGTTGTCGAAAATAATCGCAAGCTCCCGCGCGGCAGGAAGGGACTATACCTTGTCTCATCCTACGATGGACTAAAGGCCAAAGCCACGGGCTGCAAGGTCCAATCACGTTCCACTCTATACTATGATGCGCTTAACATTGATTAGGGGTGGACGAAAAATGCTCGAATCCAAAAACGCCGCATCAGTTCTATAGCTTCGTCGCTGCAAAGAGCCAATATATCGTGGCTTTCTTTGCGATGTAAAATTGTTGAGTCACTCAGTGCTCTTCCATTTGACCCACAGTACACTCGTCCTATTAGTGATCCGAGACGCGGGCACCGATACGTGCATCAAAGCGAAATACCGCACAATTTCTAAGTGGCTCGTGATTGGATCTGGCGGTCCGTAGCTTTTGCCTTTACTCCACCGTAGGGTGATACGAAGTATAAACTATGGCCGCCAGCGGATGCCACCTTCGGCACCATGAAGCTTGAGCGAGCTGGGAGTTAATAATCTTTGTTCGCGATCGCTGAGGAGCACTTACAAACGGCGGTCCAGAAAGCCGGGGTAACACTGCTTATGCATCATTCAAAGACAGTCTGTATACAGATTCGAACGCGAGTCACTGAGATATCCGTGCTTCGAATGCCGCATGGCAATGATTTCAAGGAGAAAACTTTGCACGCGGCATTCGATCCGCGGGTATTGCGGTGACTCGTGTTTGCAGACTGTTTTCTTCTATTATGCAGGAGCAGTGTGACCCCGACTTACGGCATAACATAACAAGTAGAAATCGTTTGATGGGACGGTTGAAAACACAGCAGAAATACACGGCGAAAGAAATGGCAGTACAAACACATAACCTCCTTCAGTACGATCATGACATCGGGGCACAATGTTGCTTGAAAAAAGCGAACCCGCTGAATGCCCGCTGACAAGCTAGCACTACCATTTTTAATATCGGTTTTAGAGTGGGTCGCGGCTTCCGATTAGCGTAGTATTTTGGCAGTGCTCTTATTTAAATTCCGTAAATCGATATTCTTCGCTTAGTTTAGTTCGACTTTTGATCAGGGTGAGTCTTTGAAGAGAAGCCGAAAACGTTAATGAAGAAAACGAGTTAGAGGTGAATGCTAGAGTAGTTTTGTCCCGTTAATATGAATATCACGTTCGTTTTAACCGAAGATGTACCTAAATCCGAGATGACACGAAAAACTTCTCACCAATCCTGGATATTTTGGCCGTCAAGCTCGTGTCCTTTGGGTGGACAACACGTGCAATATACCTTTTGCTGAATAACCTTCAAAAAGAATGTCGGGAACGTAGGTGCACGCGCTGCGCACGCTGGCGTCTTTACCTCTAACTGTTGGAAAGCAAAAATCTAAAACAACTGGCACTTCGCACGCGTGTTCCACGGACGCTTAATTTTTGTGATTTACTTTTTTTTTTCTTTGTATAGGGTAGGAGAGGACGTGCAGCGCGTGTACCTACGTTCCGAATATTCTCTTGGATGCTTGGGTAATTTAGCAAATGTAAAGCTTGTCAGGTATATTCCACACACAGACACCAGTCGTGACATATTTTTTACCTTTTTGAAAATAGCAGGAGTGTGCATGCATAGCTTTAATATGCACTGAAGGTACGTGAGAGCGGAGATTTTGAAAACTCCTTTTATGGCGTAACGCTCCTGGAACATGGGGCTTCAGTGCTACATTAAAAATGATTTTCTGCGACTTCCGTGCTCAATATTGAAAAATAGGAATCTCAATATTCATAATCCTGGAGGCCAAATGAATCCCATTTCATTATTTTTACTCAAATAGAGAACCGCTTCAGTTTCCCTTTTGGTACGAGTGAAGAAAGTGTTGTAACTGGCTACAATAGGTATGGAGGGAAACAAATCCAGAAGCTCAAAGCGTGTTCGTAAGATTTTATACAACAAATCAAACCTCAAGAGCATTTTCCAAAGTCGCTTGAGAACTTTGGGTATTGTACATATGCAAACA